TTGCTTTATTGTACAAACGACCGGTTTCAATAGACCGGCGAAATTTCTCATTTTATGAAAGCACTGAGGTTACGACAACTTCGAGTTAAACTGATTTCACGGGTTGTCAAAGAGTCCAGCGATTCCCTTTTCCCAGGTGAGCGCCGACTCATTTCGCTTCAATATTCAGGAATGCTCTCGATCTCTTTACGCTTTCATTGCGTTTCGCCCGACATGTTTTGCACGGCGTTTAGTCATGCGAAACCTCCACGAAACATCCACGCAGCGCGCGAGGTAACTTTATCCCGATTCTAAAAATAACTCAAGACGAATTACCAATGGAATAGGCTGTGTATAGGGGATGCCTTCTCTGTCCCCTTTATTCTCTCTTGGTTATGGTATGAGAGTTTTTGACTAGGGCAAACTGGTGCTGTTGAATTAGATCTGCTTCTTTGGGAAAAGCTTGTAGCTCCAAATTCATGTAAGACTCGTGGATTTTAGAGATGCAGGGCAGGACTGAGAAAGGTCTATAGTTGTCGCTCTCTGATCTCTTGCCGCCCTTAAACACGGGAGTTACTTAAGCGGTTTTCCTAGAGGTCGGATATATCCCTTGATTAAAAGACTCATTGAACAAATGAGTGACGACGTCGCTAATGTGGGGTGCAGCGATCCTTAATGCTTTTGCGGGAATCCGGTCAGAACCAGTAGCTTCAGAAGCTTCGATTGTGTATAACGTTTTATAAACGTCCTGCTCACGTAAATGTGGCACACTGAGCACGCAAGGACTGGTGATTTCCTTCGTCTGATTGTTACGGTCTATCGTACGCCTGTCTAAAGGAAACGGACAAATGGTTGTGAAATATTGGTTAAATGACTCCAATAGAAATAACTTCTTGGCTGTGCAGCTCGTTTCCATCTTCTACCAGGTTCTGAATATCACGACCTTTATCTCTACAAGGCAAAACTTTGCGAGGTATGTTCCAAAAAGCTTTAGGATTAGTCGCGTTTTTTTGGAGATTACTTAATATTAATAATAACAATAATTAGCAATTATTGGACGAGGTTGAGCAAAATATCGTGATTTGTCTCGCAGATCAATTATTTGCCGAAGCCGACGATATTTTGCTATAACCGAGTTCAACAATTGTTTTATCATTCGATCACCGAGTTTGTTTTTTAAGGAATATCTTCGGGAAGCGAAGCGATCTGCCATTGTCACGTAAGAGCGATCGCAAGAAGGAGAAAAGCGTGGTTTCATGAATATTTTAGAATAGTATTTGCCGCCAAAAACAGTTGAACGACATTGCGCATGAGCACACCATTATTTGTAGGCAGTTATTTGCAGGTCACGTGGTGGGCTCTCGGCCAATGAAAAGGAAGAAACATTTGCATCGAATGATAATAATATTTATTGATTGGTATTGCGCAAATA